GCTCTATTGGTTCTTCTCCGTTTTGCGAAGCCTCCAGTCTCTACTTCTTCCAGTCTTTTCCTCGCCTTTGCCCCTCTCTTTCTTGTCGCCGCTCAAGAAAGATGGCAAACTATAACGCGACAATTATTATATGCAAAAGAGCGTGAAAATGTCTGAAACAGCGGAGCCATTCTCGAAAAATAAAGTTCCACGAAGTGTGGCCAATGAACATTCTTTCTTTTTTACAGTAAATTCAATGTGATCTGTGAATAACTGAGAAGTTACTGGAATAATTTCTGTGAATAACTGAGAAGTTACTGGAATAATTTCTCGAGACGACAGTACGATCGTTAGGCGAAAGGAAGGCGTTCTGCAATTACCGTAACAGTAGAAACATTCAAATTGACAATCGACGATCGCGTGATTTGTAATTTGTAATCTGCAAAATTTGCTCGCGAGGTATGTCGCAAGTAACGGAAGTGACGAAGTCTAACGAACTTCTAGTCCGATCACGCAAGGGGATTCTAGTTATTGTTCGGGCTATTGGATTTCTGAAATATTCGTTAACGGTTTCTCGGGTAGAGAGGTTTATTGCTCGATGGCGGGCGCCTTGATCGCATTTTTCTCCGAGGACATTCTGATTATCCCGCTCTGGTAATCATGCGAAATCACGCGAGAGTCCTTGAGTTATATCCGCAGATACGTCACGGAGTGAATCGGTGAGGAACATCCATCAGATTTTATCTGGCGACCAACCTCGAATACTCTCTCCCTCTCTCTCTCTCTCCCTCTCTCCCTGAAACCTGTAATCTCGTATAGCGCGAATCAGTCGACCATGATGAAATGATTTAATCAAAGGTAAACGGCAGTGCGTTTGAGAAATCCCCTTCTCGAAGATCGGCGAAAAATCGGTGAGAACCGCGTTGCCATATTTCGCTCGCTATCTGCACGCATCCCGTGTATTTGCGTTGATAAATGCACGCACACGCGCGGGGCGAGTGTTTTATCGATTGAATACATGCAACGTGCAATGACGAGTGAACGAGATCGTTTGTAAACGCCCTTTCAAAGTTTCAAAGCTTGGTTTGCGCGGGATATTGTTTTTAAGTTGAACTTATACAGATTCGCTTTGCTAAAGATTACCGTCGTTGTGAATCTTCGAATTTCTGTAAATATAATTAAATCTAAACTTTGGCTGATTATAATTCCAATGCTATCGCTCGTTTTATTCGAAGCGATAGCTCGTCGCTCGCTATTTCGCGAAATAAATTGCCAGACGATACGAAAAATGTTTGTTGCCCGGGAGCAAAGAGTTAAATAATTCGCTAATTATCCGGAGAAGCGATTGAGCTTCTACAGTGACCGGTTCTATCATTTCGATTCGCTCTTAATCCCGTTGGAAACCGAAGGGCCGCGATGCATTATTTCACGAGAACGTCTCGGCGCTCGGTTCTCGAACGCGGTATCATCGCGTATCGGGTATCTCTTGGTCCGAGACGAGGCACGTTTTGTGTGTTTGCGCGTGTGTGTGTGTGTACATTTAATAAAGTAGAGGTGTGGAGTTCCGCGATAGCGGCTCGCGGAAGTTATGCCCGACCGGAATCGCTGTTAGGTCTCCGCGCGGCAACGTTTGCTGAATTATCGCCGGCCGAACGCTGCGCATAATACAGCGACGCACTCTGTTTCCCCGATTACCCTCCCCCAGACTACCTGGGCGATCGCTACCGTGATTATTTTCAATTCCTGAATCCGAATCGAATCTGCGTTACCACACTGCCTTTAAACACACACTGCGAACGTACGCTTGAATTATAATTACGATTGTGGACGATCGGATTCGGCGAGGTTCTTATTTATTTGTCGCGTTTGAATTTATTGTTTGTCGCGTGTTATTTAATTTGCTGCACTTTGGTTTTATTTGAACCGAACTAGCCACGAATTCGGCTGCGACTGTCTCTAAAGAAGTGACAGAAGAAGAAAAATATCATGATACATGGAATTAATAAAATAAAATCAAAACATAATGAAATGTAAAATACAAATATCTAGAGTAACACGCGGTTGATGAATGATTGAGGGTAGTTTTGGCAGTTCATTTAAAAAATTGATAGGAATCAGGTTTCCGTCTAAATCTCGTGCTAAAGAATGCAATTTGACGAGGAAACGATCGATATTCTTCCATCGGTTTTATCAAAGACACTTAACAAAGACAAAGTGATAGAAAAAGAAAAATATCATGATACTTGGAATTAATAAAATAAAATCAAAACATAATGAAATGTAAAATATAAATATCTAGAGTAATATAAATACAAATATCTAGAGTAAAATGTAAAATACAGATATCTGGAGTAATATTCGGTTGACGAATGATTGAAGGTAGTTTTGGCGGTTCATTTAAAAAATTGATAGGAATCAGGTTTCCGTCTAAATCTCCCGTTATAGAATGCAATTTGACGAAGAAACGATGGATATTCTTCCGTCGGTTTTATCAAAGACACTCCATTTTCACGGCTCCTGTCCGAACGAAGCTACAATATCGCGCGATAACTCGATCGTAGCCCGATAACCTGGTATTTATTATCACCGGAGATCTCATTTTGATACCCGTTGGCTCGCTCTCGCGCCTCCGCAGCGCCCTCGCGCGGCAATGCGTTTCTTCCACCGGAAGTTGCACGTCCAGAAGTACACGCTTGAACTCGCCGCGAGATACCGCGTTTGATTGAAATATTGAACCGTTCCTAGGAACGCATTTCCACGAAGTTCCTCTTCCTTGTCGCTGTCGCTCGTAAAAAAAAAAAAAAAAAAAAAGAAAAAGAAACTCGCAGCGCGACTCTGAAACTCGTAACGAGCCTCTTCAGATACGTCTGCTTCCAGAATAAATGTACTTTATCGTACGTTTGAATTTGAGTTCAGCTTGAGTTCCTCTTGGATCGATTAACAAAGAGATTCACACATTTTTTTCTCAGAGTCAAGCGAATTTCCACTCTGTTTCTTTTCTTCTTCTGTCCCCATGAGACGCGACGAGACAAAACTTCTTCTTCGCGAGAAACCTCGTAGAAAATCGTTTTTGAATAACGTGATGTTCGACCAAGTTGCTGTTACAATTAACAAGCAGTGATAAAACGGTGGCAACGCCAGATATTTCGAAGGAACGTGGGCGATCCTTCATCCGGATGCGTTAACTCTCCTTTAGCATCGCGATGCTCTCGCCAACGATTTATCACAAATTTATTTATCACAAATTTATTGCCTCTTTTTTCATTGAAATAAAAAAAAAAGCGATTTAAAAAAAAAAAGTCGCCCTCGATCGAGATATACGCACGTATCGAGTTTAAAGAGGGGATTATCGTGGCGCGGAGGGATCAACGCGTTGCCGTGGCGCACGATAATTATTTCTGCGTTAGCCATAATTATTGCCGGGGTGGCAATTAATTCCTGCCGGCGCAGCAATTAATTTATTGCGGCTTGATTAATTGCCGCATGCTCGCCGCCGAGAGACAGTTCGTTATTGTGCTGCTGGATTGCCCTTTTCGCTCCGCTGCAAAGTCCACCGTCAGTCAACCCGTTTCCTAAGAAGAACTCACCCAGACATCCGGATCGTGCGTCGTGCCTCCACTTTTCGTGGCCAGAATTCACGCGAGTACGTCTCAGGAAGCTCAGAAATACCTAAATGCTAATCCCAAAATGACGAGTGAAACGACTTTTGCCGCGAGACGAGATCAGAACCTCGAAACTGAGAAAGTAACTGTTGGATTATTCGTGATCGACGATTTACTGGACTTGCACTCAGATGCTTACATTACCCGATTTTCTTACATTATCCGTAGTTCAATTTTTTTGCACGCTCGGTCGATATTTTCCTCCTCTTCTGGTAAACGAAGACGCGTTCTTTTGATTTAAAACATTCAATATAAATATCCTATTGTTCATTCTATTGATGTAAATAATATTATAAATATAAATGTAATTATTATATAATATAAAATAATTATAATAAAATTATATTTAGTATATAATGAAAATTTATATATTTCAAATATAAAATTATAGGAATTAATAGAGTAATTTTAACTAAATCAAAAACTAAAAATAATAATCTAATTTAGAAAAAAAAGTATTGAAAATGGTAGCATAAATTTTGACATTAGATCAAATTCACATTCAAATGGAATTTTTTTTTTCCTGAATTTTTTTTTATTTATTGAGAGAACTTTGTTTAATTTAAAAATAATTTCTTTTTATTTATTGAGAGAACTTTGTTTAATTTAAAAATAATTATTGAAATAAATGTAACAAATATAATAAATAATAAAAAAAAAAAAACTGAAATACAGGGGTATATAAATACTCGTACATATATACCACGAGCACGAAGGAATTTTATTAATTGCCCGGATCCGAGAAACGGTTTCTCGTGTCGAAACGAAAATGCAGTCATTGATAATACGCGACCCACGACGAGACGAAGAGAACTGGTGGTATATATTTCTTCGGTTATCGGGGGAGGATCGAGCGACAAATGGCGGTGCCGGTCCATTTTGCGGATGAGATATTGCGTAGATTTTCACTTTTCACCGTGGACCGTGGCCATTTGCGGCGGGATCTTTGAGCGCGCTCGTAGAAACGTTGCCCGGTTCATCTCGATGAAGGATGCTGTTTGGGAAACACGATTCGTTCCGAGGCCGATGGCTATTGTGCGTCCTAGGACACGTCGAATTTTTCAAAATATCCACCAGGTAGAAATTCTCCTTCCGTCACACTGGTTTCTCGATACATTTGCACGACCCCTACGTTTACAGATTTCCGACGTTTCGTTCTGGAAAATCATCGCACGAGTAGGACATTTCGTAAAAAATATTTCTTATTGATAGCAATATTGATTATGATTCAGTAGTCTCACCATATTAACATACGTATACAGAGATTTTATAAATAAAAAGTTTCGTTTTAGGACTTTTGATGATGATAGGACGTTTGAGATACTCGAGATTGAAAAAATTCTACGAATGGATAAAGACAACTGTTCAAAAGATACAGTTCTTCTACAGTTTATTGGAAACCTTGATACACTCGAGCTTAATCATAAATATTATGGATCGTACAATGCTATATTTACAAGTAATTCGATCGAGCAGGTGGATCCTGTTTGCTAATTGTCGATTGTAAACGGGACGGGGGGATGTATCTGATGAACATGTACACGAAAACGTGTGAAATGTTTCCGCGTTACGACCAGGAGGGGAAATTAATATTTCACAGACTGACGAAAGTGCAGCGTTTTCGCGCCGAGGAAATGCTTCCGCAAGACCCTAGAATAAATTATCAAGACGAGAGCTGAGCTACGTTTCTTTGGCTCCCCCGATGACACGCGCGGCGTCATCTCGCGTGTAATGCGAAATATTATTTAATCCTCGCTGGCCGTTCGCTGGCTCGTGGCAATTCTTTGATGCTCCTGCCTCTCGAGAATTTAAAAAAAAAGATAAAAAAAATCAAAAGAAGACACAAATAAAAGAATAGTGTCTATGACGAAAGAAAGAAAGAAAAAAAAAAAAAAGTAAGGGGAAATCCAGATTCACTTGGACGCTGCTATAGTATATCATTATGCATATAAGTGTAAACCTAGATATTGTAGCTGTTTATTGCATAGCGATGTTTATATCATACGATAATGCATTATTCGCAAACATTCAGAAACTTCAGTTATAAAAATGTGTCACTGCATATCTCGGAGATACAGCTGTGAAGTAGCATTCGCTTGAATTTCGATAAACTGAGAAGCTTTGATTGTCATTTTCACGAAAAGGGGGGAAACCTTTTCGATCCTTTTATATTTTCAATTTCTCTTTCGTTCGTTCAGCTGTTGCTCGAGAAATCTCGATGATTTCTGTGTTTTTGAATATGGCGAGTAATGCTATTAGACATTAGACTTAAAGTACTGAATCTCATCAAACGGCATTTGATCGCGTATCTAATCGTTTCGATCTCGTGTAGCGACGTTCGCGCGAGCGGGAAAGATTCAAAAATCAAATATTTTTCCCCGGTCGAGCGTTCGATACAGAGATCGTGGCAAAATCCTCGACTACCAAGTTCACCTTTGATCGTTGTTAGCGACGGACGGCAACTCACTTGTACGCGCGATGAACGAAGAAATCACAATTGAAAATGACAAGTGATGAGCGAGTTCGACCGAGTTCATCGACGGCTATTAATTGACTATTAAACAAAAAAGAAAATATTAAAAAATCTACGCCTAATCACATTTATCACAATATATATTCTTTACTTTGTTCTATACTTTTCTAATTTTACTATTTTTTTTTTTTTCTTTTTTTGACTACTCGCTTTTTACAACCATCTCACACTTTACACAAACCAAAATGCACAATTGTCGAGTACGTTCGCGAGCATAATTTTTTCGCTTTTGTCGACCGTCGATTGAGAACACGAACGATTGACTTTACCGATCGAGCCTGCGCCCAACGCCATTACCGATCGAGTCTCACAGACACGGTGATTGTCCTCGCTTTGTTACCGATTGAGAGGATCGGTGATTCCCTCGATACACTCGTATCGACAGAGCCGTCGCGAAGAAGAAGGAGAGGAGGAAATACTCGCATGTTACGTCGAAGAGGCCGCGGTTAGTTGATCCTACCCTTGTGAGTCATGTAACTTATGCTATCGGACAGAAGCTTTTCCCTAGCCTGTCTCCGAATTCTCGAGCACATTGCTAATATCGTCCCTGCCATTAGACAAACGAAGCCACAACCGATTCCGATGATCGTGCTGAGAACCGTCGATCTCAGGCATACTCTGTCGTTCGTCGATTCACTAGGTCCTGCAAAACACACCAAGATACATCTTTTCAATGTAAAAAGAAAAAATGATATACCGATCCACTTTGCTCAACTTTGATCAACTACAAATCTCCAACAAAGATGAACATGTGGGAAATCGAATCAATTACCACTTCGGAAGGCTGTGGTGGAGTTCTGGAAGAACTCGGTGTCCGCCTCGCCTTCCTGAAGAACGCGCAACGACTGGAAGAGATTGACGTTCTCCGACAAACTCGTGGCTGGCGTCGACGAGCCAGCGATCTCCGGCAGCGAACGTTTGGCCACGTTTTTGGCGTTCCTCCAATGACACGGTTGGCTCTGTGCAATCGCGAATAATTCAGTGTATAATACAGCAACAGGTATTTACGTCCCTCGTGCCAAGGGATATCGTTTTGATGAAGCGCGATTGCTCTCAATCGTTTACCACTTACCGGACATCTCCCGTGGCACATTCTCACGTCGCACTCGATGTAAAGAGCCGGCGAGCCGGTGAACCTGAACGTTTTCATGTAGGCGAAAACCTGCGTCTCGAAGAGACCGCTCTCCGACCAGGATCCACGGAATCTGCTGATCAATTTATCATCCACCGGACATCCGTACTGATCGATCAGCTGGATTCTCTTGTTCCCGCCGTTGTGGGCGTAACAGTCGTTCACGACGATGTCGAAACCATCTACGAACACGTAAATATACACATTGATTCTCGTATGCCGACCGACGAGATGACATTACGAATTGAATTAAAGAACGCCTCTGTTCATCTTCGTTTCTCTGATACTCGAACGAGATCTGATACGGCATGTTTTTAATAGAATGTGCCAAATAAGACGGAACGCTTCATCGTTGTGAACGCGCGACATACTTGCTCTAAACCTTCAAACGTTGTACACACATCGTTTCTACTTGTCATTCCATTTTATTAGAAATTTATTTCACCGGAATCCAATTCCATCGGAGATAGCCACCAGAGCGTCCCCATTGGAATCTCGACTGGTTATCGATTTCTCTTCGAAGGAGGAAGCCCTAACGCAACTAATTTTAGATCCTCTCGACGCGTTCGCAACAGGGTCTCTGCGCGTCCCGTTATCCCGGTGGAATAACATCGGGCAGATGTTACGTACGACGTAGCGCCACGCAATTAGTTCCCTCGGCCGCGTGGAATCGACGTTAAGAGTAGCGCAACGTGAAAATGCGTGGCCGCTATTACTCGCCGCTCGTACCGTATTTGCTGCGCATGTAGATAATGAGAGTCAGGGGATCGCCGACGCGAACTGGTCCAGCCACTCTAGTTCCAGTGGTCCCGTAACCGTATCTGATTTCCATGTAACACTCCGGTGGCTGCAGGGTGAATACTACGGGATTCCCCGTCGCCACTCTGCAAGAAAATATCCGCGTTAAGCCCGATTCACGTGACGCATAAAACGACGTCGTATAAAAAAAAAAAAAAAAAAAAGTGAAATATCGTTATCAGGAAGAGGGAAAAAATGTTTCAAGTTGAGAAAAATTTCAGGATACATTTACATGTTGGATTTACAAGTGGAATTACAGATGATTGATCGGTAACGAGATACTCACTCGACGTCGAGGAACGGAAATGTGACGGTTTTCCAGAAGTCGTAGCCGTACTCGCAAGTCACTTTGAAGTGCTCGTCGAACTCTTCCTCGATCAGCGGATTGTACTGCACCGTGACCGTGTTCCACATCAGGTTTTTCTGCAATCGGGAGAGGGGGGGAAGAAATCGTGCGGTGAGAAACAGTACAGCCGTTTAAACGAAATATCGATCGATCGATCGATCGATCGGCTATTAGCACAGCTAACTGAGTGGGAAGAACAACGAAATATGTATCCTTGAAAGACGCAACACTTGGAATGCTAGCAAACAACTGCGTTTCTTTGGCGGAGAATTGTAACGTTTGCTAGACAGAGGAGTAAGAGAGGTAGAAGAAGAAGACTAAAAAGGGAAGGGCAAAATTTTGAAGATGAAATGGAGGAAAGAAGGATGAGAAACGACGGAAGAAGAAAAAAAGAGAGAAAAAAAAGAGCGAAGAATCAGTACACTTTAGAAGAGTGCTCGTTCTAAGATTTCTATGTGTTCATTCAATTACTCCATTTCTTACATTCATTTAATCGTACGTTTTTCATGCTCGTTTCATACGATCCTTCCAACGATTCCATCGAGAGCAGACTACATCGAGGTACTTGAGAATCAGTCTTAGTCTTTCTCTTACTTTTTCGTTTCTTCTTACGACTCTCTAATCGTAACTCATTGTCAGAGCGTACGGACACGGTTTCAGTACGGCCGGCATAAATCACGGCACGTTCGCGCGCGCGATTCAATAAATCACGGGAGAACGTAACAGAATTATTAGCACCGTCGTGGCTTTATGATCCGCGCCCGCTAAAAAGGTTCTCTAACGGATTGCGCGTGTATTAATACGTCGAGTCTCGCAGGATGTAAGTCGGACGGTGGACGATTCCTCTTCTTCTTTCTCTTTTCTTTTCTTTTATTTTTCTTTTCTTTTCTTTTTTTTTTTTTTTTCTCGTCCACGCGAATCATTATTATTCCTTGCCAAATGAGGTAAGCGGTCACGCTGCGATCGTAACGAACCACACCGTCTGTCTTTCACTGCACTGTTACACAGAGACACTGCTGCCTCTCGGAGTAACATCGTACGTTAGTCGTCTCGGAGTGGCTAGAACGTGGATACACAGAGATGTAGATGGACTTATGGAAATTCATGTTCCTACGAGTAGAATTCGAGAAATGAAACCTAGACACGTGGATGATTTATATGAGGAGTTCCGTATTTCGGAGTATTTTGGTTTCACGTGTTCTCAAGTGTTACGTGCATCTTTTTTCATCTTTAAGTGTAAAATGTACGCTGCTTGATTCATTTAACCTCTTCACGGACGAATTTTTAATTTCAGTTATAACAAGAGAAACTTTACCAGAAGTAAAGTAAAATTTAATTTTTGGCAAGTAAAAAAGATTAAGTTAAGAATTTCAAACAATAACTATTCTTGCAATGATCTCGCGAATGGAGGAAGTATTTCCTTTCTATTGGACGTAAATTAACTGTCCGCATATGTGAGAGATTAAAGAGATTAAAACAGTGGAATTTGAACATGCGATGTCAATTTAGGAACAATTAAGAATTTTTTTGTTCTCGAGAAATCTACTCTTCTCGAGACGACAGACGAATGTAGAATAAAATTATTATCCTTAGATCTACGCTTCTCGTAACAATTGCTGTTTGTTTGGTGTAACTAAACACTTTGGTGTATACTTCTCTCAAGGAGTAACACCAACTCGCGCCACTGTTCGTTTTTACCAAAGGTGAAAACATTCTCGTTTGATAAATGGTCCGAGAGCTTTGCAGCGTGGCAGTATACACACATGTCCGTGTTACGTACCGTAGGATTCTTTCGGCTGTCCTGATGATGAGTGTTCTCGCCGAGGGTGCCGCAACGATTCAGCTGGATGTAGAACTCGTAGTAGTCGCGGCCAGTTCCGTTCACGTACATGCAGTCCGGGTCGTAGGAGTAGCCTTTAATTGAAATTGATCGTTCACCGCCCACGATCACGTTTACAAGTACACATTGAGACATTTATCGGTAACGAATCTCAGTCGCCGAAGAAATGACTTTAAATTTTACTCCGGAAATTCTAACGGTACGAGGAAAGTTGAATTGTGTAGAATTGAACTAGATGTTATTAGCAACAATTCAAAATCGATTTGATCAGAGATCGATCAGTTCTCCGTGGCAATTTCTTCGAGAAAGTAAATTTTCAGAGATGTATCTGCATTCTAGTGTTATTAGATTGACCAAAAAGTAACACCTTTCTGCGTAAATTTTTCACTTGTTCATTTTCGACATTCGATCTTTTACTATCTTTCAGATGCAACAAATTTTATGATCAAAAAAGTTTTTTTTCTTTTTTATAAAAAAGCAAGAACGATTCGATATTTTCATCAGCAAACCAATTCTGACGCAATTTTAAGATTTCTTCGTCGTACACGTCGGACAATTTTTTGATGACCTTGCACAGCGTTTCTCTGTTTTCCTTTTAAATAGTAGTATTTTTTGACTTTCGGCGCTAAAGAAACAGTCGGTAACTTTCTTTTTCAAAAAATGATTAACTCTTGAACAATCGGCTGTCGGATTCACGATTGAAAATGACAATAAACTTGCGATTTAAAATAAAATTAGTTACATTTTAAGGTATACATATACAGTTTACCTATCATAAAAAAAAAAAACACGTAATTTTTGACCAATCGAGTAAAAGATTCAACGACAGAATCGATCGATATACACGCACCCCCACTCGTCACATTATTACAAATTGTCAAATTTTATCGTGCAAGCAAAGGGGAACAACTATTTTCCGATCCAAACGACGATCGAACGAAACCACGGAAACCACGATCGATCGATTATCGTTATGTTCGAACAGAGAGGAGCGCGCACAAAGTTGAATAGTATGGAAGCAGGACGGTGGTCAACAAGGACGAGTTATTTGCAGGTGCATCGCGTGCATCGTGCAAGGAGCAGGCAACGCGTTGTGCTTCTTTCAAAATAACGGAAGTGTGCACGGTTCGACTATGCCGGTCCGGGAGACGGACTCGCCTTGGAAAAAAAAAAGAAAAAGGAAAATTCTCTCTCTCTCTCTCTCGATATCTTTCTCCCTCGCTGTTTCCATCTGTGCCCGCTAGTGGCGAACCTCAGCGAGATCGTTTCACGATAATGTCCTGCCATTAGCTCGTCAGCATCGTGGCAGTTCGAGCGTTGTGTCCGCGGAGAGATGATGATTGCGAACAGCGGAGCCGCGAGGTCGTGCAACGCGGACGTGATAGCACGTCCTTTGATGCGCGGATGCTCGCGGCCACGTCCCCACGATCCACGTCGCGATGTTAATTTCCAAAGGGCTACTTACCCGCCGAGTACAGCAGCCCGGCGAACGAACCGTTGAAACCGATCCTGATCTTCATGTAGTCGTCCTGGCACTCCGCCTCGATGTCTGCGAATTTTTCGTTTTCGTTAATTGGAAGATACGTGAAATTATTATACATGGTAGATTTTTTATTAAATTAATTAAATTAGTAATAATTTAATTTAATTTTAATTTAATTATTATAATCTTAATAATTTTATATTTTTATATATCATTATAATTATTATAATTTTATTGTATATTATTATAATTTTAATAATTTTATACTTTTGTATATTATTATAATTATTATATTATTTTTATATTTTTATTGTATATATTTAAATTATTTTATAATGGACAAAATAACCAAACGCGATGTCTCCTCTGTCGATAGTTTTCGTCTTTTACAGAAAGTCGGAGATGCGTGTTTCTTAACTCTCGAAACAGCGTCTGTCGGATAATATCAGTTTTAGAGGTTGAAATACCTCTAAATTTATTTCTAATTTCCATCGAGAATATGCAAAATCAGACAGTCTGATTTTGGCAGTCAGGCGTAGTCTGAATTAAATCTAAAGTTAAATTACGATTATCAGTAGTTTGCAACGTTTTTCCTCTCCAGTACCCTTCGATTAGAGTTTTCATTTATGAGTGACTGAACTTCTCTCCTAAACGTCCATCCATCCCTCAAAAATGTTTTCGTAGGTTAGCTAAATAATCAAATTAATGACATTTCACAGATTAAAACTCTATACTCTTTGTTTCTGTGTTTTTTTATGTCAACTTCTTTTTCTGTTTCTCTTGCGCCATTACCAATATTATTTTCGCGTAGTTGGGTACCATTAATTTATACCGATATTTGAGGCTTGAAAATTAAACATCAGAAAATCATGATCAATCGAGAGATCAACAGCGAAGCGTGTGTCTATAAATTCTTTTCGTACACTCGCTCCCCAAAATCCTAACCTGGGGAAACCCAACTTTCCCAGACTTTCCAAGTCCACGACTTGGCAAACGGCTCATCAACACCTATCCGCCTGTACGATCGGAAGCTCGGATAAAGCATCGCCAACGGGGTAACGAACCTTCACGACAACAGGCAAAAAGAGAGAGAGAGAGAGAGAGAGAGAGAGAGAGAGAGAGAGAGGAACCAGGATGCCGAAACGTTGGCGTTTCGTGTCGAAACGGTCGGAAAATCGAGGGCGGAAAGCAGCGGAAAACCGGTCGCCGATGACGAGTGAAAGTAAACCGGCGAAGCCCCTTTATAAGGCGCTCTTCGTGGTAAGGAGCCGTTTCTATCGTAAAACGACGTAATCCAGCGGGAGTGTGGAAGATGGACGGCGTTAGATGGAGGCTGAAGATAGTCACACTCGAGGTACTCCTCGATGATACAACGTTTCGCCGGGAGAACGCTTCCCGCCCGTTTTCTCTCTCTTTCTCTCTCTCTCTCTCTCTCTTTTCTTTCTTTCTTTTTCTTCTACTCTTCAGCGTGGTCGTTTGTAGGTGGGCACGCGTGCTACCGGCGCACGCGTTTTCGACCGGTATGCACGCACGCTTATTAGAATTGCGGATACGTTCTGCTTCGTGTTCAGAGTCCGGCAAAACGTCCGAGAGTAAACAATGGAGGAGGCGGTTACGCAACTTCGATACACACTCGTGCTCCCCCCTGAGAGAAGTGTACGCGAGAAGGAGTACACCATCCCGGAGGGTGTCACGGCGAACATTCTTCATTCACGATGAAGCGGCTTTCGCCGGTGGCTTCTTTCATCGTTGGTTGAAACCACTTTGCATATATGCACGAGATATGCACGCTACCGACCGTAGAGCACAATTGCAACGCGGATAATCGTTCATTTGTACATGCGGAGTTTTAATCGCGGAATAGAGAGCGAAGATCGTGCTCCGGGCGGACCAAGACCAAGCTCGGGGGAGAAAAATCTCTCGCTCGGTGGTCGACGTTCGATCCTTGACACTCTCCCGTACGATTTAATTACGTAGTATCTCCCGTTTCAAACGAATCTCCCTCCCCCGCTGTTTAACCCCTGATTACGACTCACCGTGAGAGCGAAATAAGCACATTGTTGCTCGGCATGACTCGGAGAATCCAAACGTTGCCCGAGGCTCGGCCCTTTCATTTAAATCTCGTTACGCTAAGCTCGTAAACTTCGTTCCGAGCGCGCAGTGTAAAAGACCGCGGTGTAACGTGGTTGTTAAGGGTCAAATTATAGGAATGCCAGATGCGTGTCTAGCTTGATCATCGCTCTTCTCCCCGGTAATCATTCCACCAGGGCGTACCTCCCTCCTCCTGGAGGGGGACGGATCGTTCGCTAATTGCTCGCGTGCTCTCGTTTCTGCACCACCGCGATTACATACCGGCTTGTTTGGAAAAACTTTACACTGACAGCGATATACTCGAGGGCTGAGACTCACAGTGGCTGAAACTTCTTTCTTTTTTTTTACGTGTTCTTTTTCTTTTTTTTTCTTTTTTTTTTTTTGATAAAGTGATACTCTGTACGTTTAGTTGCGTAACTTTGTTTGTTATCGAAAAAGGATTGCTGCGTTTGGACGGTGAACATAATTTCGAATTCATTTCCGAGCAATTTGTCTTAAATTCACTGACACTGAAAAAAATTTGAAAACAATGAATTTTTTTTTTTTTTTGCACTGCAACGATCAAGATTTTATTTTATCCATAATTTATGTTCGAATTTGTAGTTTTATAAACAAAATTTATCGACATTTGCTCGGAGAAATTTATGAAAAATATTGTTTAAACGAAAGGTTTTTTGGCAAAATGGTATACACCATTAGAATCGTTAAGAAAACTTTAATTTACATCGATTTACAAAAAAATGGTATCTTCAATGATTTGACAAAATATGTTCCGCACCCCCAACTTTGAGTTTTCACCCCTTCGACATCGATAAAAAGAAACGCTTGTCAAATATTCTTTCGAAAACTACATTCACGCCAAATTTCATCAAAATCTGTGATTCACGTTTGGATGTATTCCCTTTGAGAACAAGGTATATGATCGTGATACCATGTAATTTTCATTCAGACGCTCAGACCAATCTCGTTGAGAACTTCCCAAACAATCTTTCGTTTGCCAAGAACAAACTGTGTCTCTTCTGAAATTTGGAATTCGAATGCTATCAAAAGGAACTCGCAGTCTGTCCCGAAGTTTGATAATCGTGAAACTTCCGGTCTCAGAGCCATACTCGAAACAAACGTTTCCGCCGAACAGTGGGAGCACGGATCTGTAAAGAAAACGAAGCTGACGAAGAGAGCAGAAGGAACACACGAAGAGAGAAATTCGAGAACCGGAGGAGACGAGGAGGATTAAAGCTGATGGGCCTTCTTTTCGCGTAATCGACGATGCCCCGCCATGCGTGTTTCCCGCGGAGAAAGGCCGTTTACGACTTCATCGAGAGTCTAACACACGCGCAAATCGATAACAAGTATACTCGGGGACGTGTCGTCTATTTCGGGAAGCTGTGTCGCGTCGTTCTCCGAACGACGAATCGATTCGCGTCGATTTACTGCTTGATTAATCCACCCCTCCGTTCCTCCGTGCCACCCGTAATCTCGCGGCAATTACTCAATCTCGTGTTCTCTCGGCGTAGTGGAGCCTCGACGGCGTAAATCTGGGGAATTACAATGGATGCTGGACAGGAAGCCGCCTTCGGGGCCTGGATTTATTAAAGGAAAACCGTCTCGCCGATCGGCAATTTCGAGAATCACCGACTTCACGGAGATCACGTCCGCCAGAGATAAGATCCAAATTCTTCAGTAATGGTGGATCGTTGCATATGGAATCGATATACTCGACACGCTTTGCTGGCTGGCGATTAATTTCAGGCTTACAAGGATCGTCAAATTTCAGAGACTTTGAGATTTCTCCGAATTTCAAGTAATCTATGCTCGAAGAGGGGTAGGGGATAATTTAAACTTGCGAATTTTATATTTGCAACAAGCGAGAAAAAATTGGAACAAACGTGTTCCGGAAGTGTTATCTAATTTTTAGTTTTCTTTAATTTCGTCGGAATCTCTCCGAGTCAAGAAAATTTAAGAAATTTTTTTCTAAAGTTCGAGAGAATTGTATATTAAATAAAGAATACATATTCAATTTATATGTATTGATACGATTATAGAATCATACTATGTGTATTGTCAATTTAATATCGACGAAAATGTACCAAAACCTTCATTCGAGATTTCCATTCAATTGTTGATAATTATTGATTAACAACCACTATTACATAAAATTTCAATAAATCTTCGAGAAATATAGATCGATTGCATTGTCGTTTGATAATTATTGCTTTATTTGCTTTAAAAGTAGGTATATGTTAAATTTGAAACAGTTTCAATATATTTAGTTTAAAATGTTAAAATGTGAAATTTCTTTACAATCGAATAATATGGGAAACGATACTGGAATTCAATTTGTCACACATGCCTGGTATCGATGTAACAACTGATCTTTCCTTCGGTGCCAATACACCCCCTCCCCCTCTTAGATTAAGCTTTCGGTCGCAATTGTGGACACCCTTAAACACCACTTGCGCTGGCAATTGATTGCGGACCATAACGAGTGGCCAAACAATAATTCGTCGCTTTCTTTTTGAACTCGGTACGATATCACTGGACAGAAATTATTGAGAGGTAATAAATCTACTATTTGTTTTATCTATTTTGTTTTACTTAGACATACTTAAAATTGAGAGAATGTTACTTACAATTAGAATATAGAGAATAAAGAATTCTCGACGTGCGTGGCACGTCGTTCCAGCGCAAGAGCACTACTGCAAATGAATGGACGAGATAAAGAAAAGAAGGGGAAGAGAGTTGGATCGATAGAGGAGAGGAGAGAAAGGAGAGAAGTCGACGTGTTCGCCTGGAGTGCCGTACGACTTTCCAACACCGTTTTAATTGCGTCCACTCTAACGGTAGCCGTTCGCCATCGCGTCCCGAATGCCGGACCGCGTCAAGGATGCTGTTGTGCACCAACGATGGATCGATCGATCGATCAAACGCTTCCTGGCTGCCAACGAGTCCTTACGTCCGTACTCCGAGGAGTGACAATGCTCATGACGAACATACGCGCGCGATAACGGTTCCCCGGGTAAACGTTCCCTTTCTCATTCGAGAATTCCTGCTCTCGCGACTCTCGGACGCTTGTTTCGACCGGAACGAAAGTGAAAAAATTACGCGTGTCCTCTTTCGAGAATTCGGGAAGATTCGTCGTGTCAGAGTGATTCTTCCACAAATTTGTGGCAAAGAAATTGGAATAAAGTGCATCTATTTATAGTTTATAAAGTCATCCATATATAGCCTCATCAATATATAGTTTACTAAAGTCATTCGAGCCTCTAGAAATAGACTGTTACAAACATATAAGATTTATGTGGAAAATTATTATTGTTTTATATTATATATTTTATATTATATTTAATATTATATATTTTATATTATATTTTATATTATATATAATATTATTAATTATTATTATAATATATTGTATTATTAGTCATTTTGATCATTTTGTTGGTAGCTTTAGTTAAATTGCTCAAGCTTCAAGTTTCGTATAGATTTCAAATTATTCCGTAGCTGTTCTTTTATTATTTTTTTCTTTTTCATCGTATCTTTATCGTTGTAAATCGATGGAATAGAAAGAGAGTCGTTTCGTAGTAAATCGAGTTACTTACGTTGAACTCGAGTGGTGTTAGGTCTGTATCTCCTGTGTTCGCGATCCCAAGTCTCTGGATGCCTCTTCCAGTCTTCATCCCCGACCACCCCGGTCCCACCGCCGCCGGCTATTCCTTGCAGACCCTGAAGAGTTTGAAGAGCTTGAAGATTCGGGCTCAAGGGTCTTCCTTTCAACGACGGTATCGGTACGTACGCCGCTCCTTCCCCGACGTACACAACCTTCGTTCCAAACGAACAAAATTCACTCGATTAACAAAGCTAGATTCGACCAATCGATTCGGGACCCAAGTTTCTAACCAAACGGCGATCCTCAGTCGTTCAATTTTTTTCTCTGGAATTTTTAGACTTCGACTAAGTTAAAAATTCGATCATTTTGTGGATTTACATTTTCGTAAACGTGAAACATTTCGTTTTGTTTATATTATATTTATCACGCGGATACACTCTTCTTAATCGCGCTAATTCTGGGCCTCATTGGTCAACAGGAATTTGTTGAGAGCCGCACAGAGTTTACATATTTTTTTATCAGTTCAATCGTAATCTACGTTATTTACAAAGATATTAAAACAACTTTTTACAGCGAAACAATACACTGATTAGAAAAATATATTTACATTAATTAAAAAAACATATGAAAATTTTTAATTGAGAACACTGAGCTTGTTTTTTTAGACACCAGTTCATCAGTATCTGGTTTGATACAGGATGCTTGTCTAAAATTGTTCTTATTTTATTTTTTGCGTGCTTCGTATGGGAAAGAAATCTGTTCGCAAATATAAATATAATACTAGCCAAAAAAGGACATCATGGTTAAAATTATTCCAATAATAAAAGAATTCTTATTCAGTTGTTCCAATATAACCAGATACATCTGCTCTAGAAACTGTAAGTGTCATTCCTTCACACGAAATCCAACAGAGTCACCGTACCTTAAAACTCATAGTTTGTTTCATAGTTTAAAACTTTCAAGAACTCCGTACTTTCAATTTTCTCCCCCTTACATGCAGATTCGATGTGATTCAAACTATTTTAGATCCAGTCGTACGTTTCTGTGGTGAAACGAATAAGGCACGTGGTCGGTGGCCAAACGCCAAGCTGCGCAAGAAGTGCCGCCAACAGCCAGAAGTGGAAACAATCGTGTTGTTACACACTCTTCTTTGCCCCCTTTTTATCTCGTTCGTTGCTCTAACGACCAATCTCGGATTCTTTCTCGGATTCCGCCTCCGTGTGTTCCTCGTTGCATCGAGTCGACTCACCGCGCAAACGACAGACAACCGCGGCATACTCCGTGCCAATCCCTCTCCCTTCACTCGGTCACTCGCTTCTTCCACTTCTCCACTCGCCGCCGAGAAATTATCGCTATTCACGGATTCCAGTTTTCTGGCATTTCTGGAACTCGAGCGGCATTTACGGGCCATCAGAGAGGTTACATCGTGGTCTATCTTCTGTCTTGTCGCTTCATGGGAGGACGATACTTTGAAACATCTTCAGGAGTATTAGGTTTTTAGAAACGCTCGTGAGACTAGCGTGTTTGGCAAGCGAGTTCAAGCTTCAGATGAATGGGTTTCGCGGAAATGGATCATTTCGATCTTACTTCTCGACTTTTAGGAACGTCTAACAGCGCGCGATTCCTCGCTCTTTGCAACTTGTGAGTATCATTTTCAAAAGTTGCGGTTTTTAAATGTTTGACGTCGTTCATAAAATGGGATGTTTAAATTCAAGCGTTTGTTGAGACGTGTTTGATATCGTTTGTTAAATTTAAATTTAAATCTTTGACATCGTTCGTTGGATATTTAAATTCAAGCGTTTGTCGAGACGTGTTTGATATCGTTTGTTAAATTTAAATTTAAATCTTTGACATCGTTCGTTGGATATTTAAATTCAAGCGTTTGTCGAGACGTGTTTGATATCGTTTGTTAAATTTAAATTTAAATCTTTGACATCGTTCGTTGGATATTTAAATTCAAGCGTTTGTCGAGACGTGTTTGATATCGTTTGTTAAATTTAAATTTAAATCTTTGACATCGTTCATTGGATATTTAAATTCAAGCGTTTGTCGAGACGTGTTTGATATCGTTTGTTAAACTTAAATTTAAATCTTTGACATCTCTTCCGTGATTTCAATTTTCTGATTCAACGAGAATGCTAGAAATATATTCCTCTTCTTGATCTCTAAGATTGTTTTCTCGGAGTATTTTCTATATATATATTTTTTTTTTCTTTAAATGTGTTCTCTAAATTCGCCACATATCGTAGCAAGAATATTCCACGTAAACAACAACACTTGGAACACTTCTTTAGGAGGTAGACGATTTCTCATTTTATGAATGAATTCAAGATCTAAAAATGTTACGCTCAAGAGACAAAACGATGTCTTCGTGTTTGATGTTCAAGATCAAATGTTTATCTATGATATTTTCTACTGCTACGTCCCATCGTCTTTTCCGATTGAACGTCACTCTGCATCATGTCATGATGAACCCGTTGCGACGTGCGTGGATCTCTTTTTAACATACGAGACGTTCGTTGTCGATGGTCTCTCGAGTCTCATCGCGACACGAGCGCTCATGCGATGATTAACGGTCGCGCGGTTAGGGCGTCGAGAATCATTAGTCGAGCTATGATCGGTCAGATGTGAGGCTAGGTGAACGTACTTGTCGTATCGCGGTAAGCTTGTCCCTGTACACCTGTTCGCCAGGCAAACCCGATTATCCAATCATTTAGAGTTTCTTGCGAGAGTTTCTTCCACTCGTAAATCCGTAACACCCGTTCTTCCAACCAGAAGAGCTCTCTTGCCGATCGTGCCGAAGAAGATACGTTCGTCGAAGACACGTTTTACGATCTTTCTTCTCCTGCGTAGAAATTGTAGCGCCAGTATTCGATTCGCTTCATATTACAAGTAAAGAAAAATCCAGGACCAATTATAGGACTGGAAAGTAACCGAGCTCGAATACTTCGTACGCTGTTAAATTCTTGGGAGACTGGGAAGATGATTTATCGCTTGGCAAAATGAAAAATAACCGCCGTTTTTTTTTTTGTTTGTTTTTTGGATAATCGTTTGTGGATTAATTATCAGCGTGCTAGTTAGAAGTGACCTACGATGCGGAAGATGTATTTCTCGGTTCGCTGGAAGAGCGCGGTAACTTGGAAAAAATTCATTTTTCGTGAAAATTAACAAGAACTTAGTAGTTAATTTCCTTCCCTTGGATAATCAAAAATAGCCCCTAAATCTGAATTTTTACTCGATACGTCTTTGCAAATATTTCAGAATCTTCATTACTTTTCTAGTAGGATAAAGAAGTTCTTAGAATGATTGATCGACTTGATTTTATCCAAACCTACTATTGTCGCATCAGTTTCGAACCATGCAATTTATAATTAATAATTTGACTTCAGTAGCATAACTATAGTAATAGCAACTTCATAATGGGAACAATGTGAGATAGATTTACTCTTTTTAAATATTTATAATTGATCCCGTTGCCCAGATTGATAAATAATTGTAAATATTTTATTTCTCAACATGGTAATTTGTATTTACTTCTTTAAATGACAAACCGCAGGATACTTGAGAGATCAACTGCAAGATCGATACTGCCTTTCTAAAATTTCCTAAAATTACACGCGCGAAAGGATACTTTTAAAAGGATAAAGACAAATTGTGGAAAAGGAGGGACATCATTCGACGGAGGTAGAAAAATTCGCAAGATGGATGTGCATGATGGAACCGACGCGACAATTTCGGCTATCCACTTCGCAAGGGTACTCACAGCGTCGTGGTCGCTGGCCTCGTGCGTTAACGCTTCTCTGGTTTCGTTGTGAATCGAGTCGTCGTCCTCGGGGCCAGATCCGCTTCCTGCCCAATAATCCTCCGTTGTCTCGTCCAACACCGAGTCCTCCGCGTTTCCATCCCCCTCGCTGTTCTCGTGATTCGTTGCCTTGAAAATTTTCAAACTCAGACTCCTCTGATCAAGACAACGACAGTAAATAGTTTTGGCGAGGATCTACCTGACATCGAAGCGTTGCCACTGTCAGGAACCACACGATCGCGTATCTGGAACAAAAAAAGGACACACTCTCGTTATCTCGGTCGAAATTCAAATATCACGATGATTTTGTCATTTTCGATGGTACACTGTTGATGAATTATTTCGATTTGATCATTTTAATCAGCGGACGACGGCAACGAATGATACGTTTCCTACACTCTGTAATTTCACAGCGAGAGCAATTATCAATTATTTATATTGAAACGCCAAGATTATCGTGGAAATTGATGTCACACCAATTCTCGCAGACACGTTTTATTTGTTCGACGAAACGAGCAAATTGCTAGTTTATAGGCACTGATGCCCAGGCTCTAACGACTAGTTTAGACGCATTTCAATCACGACTCACTTTAGATTTACATTAATTTAGAACCTGTTGCCAACACGGTTGTTTGGTCTCGTTCGACTTACAGCTGCTTTTTCACCGCAATTTCGCGTTGCTCGGTTAGTTTCGTCGTTGCAAGAACAAGTTGAAGATTTGCCATGCAAGATTTGTTGCGTAAAGGGACTAGGTGGAATATAATAATTCCCCTCTGATACATACCTTTATCCGCACATTCGCGGAATGCTGATATTTCAGTTCATATCTCTGTTCGTCTTGTTCACTTTTTGTCATCGTTGTAATGAAAATTTAATATAAACAGGAACAAATTAAAAATATTAAAAATATTAAATATAAAAAAAATTTCTATATTTCAGAAGTTTTCATTTTCCAAGGAACAAATTATCATCGCGAGTAGCGTGCAGCGTGGAAACAAAAGAAAGTACAGCTATGAGCTGTATTCTGACAATAAAGGAGAGGAGTATTTCGCACACACTTTAAAATAAATATTTAAAACCTGCAGTCGTGGACGTACGTCTCAATGGAAATGAGAATCTCTCACGGATTGGATCAGAATCTGAGTTGAATCGTGGATCAGCCGAAAAATTTTCGAGTCGCCGCACGTTTTTATCGCGTGTATCGTCGCGAGATTTCCCCGCGAGATTCTCGGTGATTGGCCAAGGGAAGTCGAGCAGCCTGAGAACTGCGAGCACCGAGGCTCGCTCGGTCACGGCGCACGTCCGTTCACGCGGTAACACAGTTCTCCGCGGTCCGACGCGAATTCGCGATAATAACGAAGGACAACGGACGATAGAATCGCGGCGAAACCATAATCGGATCATTGTGACGCGTGACTCGGCGCAATCGGGCCGCCGTATCGAGGAAATCCTCGTCGATGCGTCAGCGGCACGCGTGTCTCGCATGCGAAACGCGTGTTTCGCTGTCTTTTTTTCTTTTGGACGACGTTCTCCAGATTCCGCCAAGTTCGTTCTCCAAGTTCGTCGGAACGGAGAGGAGAGAAAGCTGGAATGAGTCACGTTTCGCGAGAGAGTGGGGGAGAGATACGAACTTGACAGTGGTGGATCGTGGAGACGTTAACGCGTTACGACGACTCGTATCACTTTTGTTCTCACAGAGCGGACTAGAGACGATGAATTTGTAACTCCCCTCTCGTTCTACGACTTCCTCCTTCTTCTCTTGGCTTCTTCATTTTTTCGCGGTTGCACTTCATCGACTTCCTTTCTCCACGACGCTGATGTGCAACGGGTCTCTCTTTCTTTCGCATCGATCCCGAGCTTAACTACTCCTCGAGCGCCGCTTGTTGGTTTTGCTAGCGATGCGACTCGAAACATACTCATCGTGGGATGATAATTACGAGTCTATATATTTTAGTGCGGGTGTATTTCTCCTTTTTCTTTATTTTTATTTTATTTTATTTTATTTTATTTCATTTCATTTCATTTTATTTCATTTTATTTCATTTTATTTCATTTTATTTCATTTTATTTTATTTTATTNTCATTTCATTTCATTTCATTTCATTTCATTTCATTTCATTTCATTTCATTTCATTTCATTTCATTTCATTTCATTTCATTTTATTTTATTTTATTTTATTTTATTTTATTTTATTTTATTTTATTCTATTTTATTTTATTTTATTGTTTTTGTATAAAATGTTTTCACAAAAATGTTTCTATGAAAAAGTTCTGTCTTAAAATATCTTTGTGAAAAAAATTAAGGAAATGTACGATTGCAATAATTATGGAAAGTGAAGAAAATATATGATTGCATGGAAATTCGAATATCTGTAGAGACACAAAAATTTCATTTCTTTTATGATTCCACTACAGTCTTGAAATGTCTATCTTAAAATATTGTTTTTATGAAAAAGTTGAAAAAATATTTGATTGTAATAATCGCGAAAATTCGAACAATTGTAACGACATTGAAAAATCTCTTTTGTGATTAAATTTCACCACAGTGAAAGATTGAAGATTGAAGTTTCTACTATACAGCGACTCCTTCAAACTTGCTGCACGATATTTTTTCGCCCATTTTGTTTTAACTTTAAATGTTAATCGACAAAAATTTCAGAAATAAAATATTTCGTCGATCAACTATAATATTCAAAGTTCTGTAAAATATCAAAAAGAAAAGAAAAAAAAATTGGTGTATCAGATTTTAAGGGCTTGTAGTAAGAGAGAAACTTGAATCTTCAAGATTGTGTTTAGATTTAGTCGTAAAAGGATTTTTCCAGTGTTTTTTGTAGACGCCTGAATTTTTACAATCTGTTTGAAGAAAAGTACTCCTACTTCTTCGTTCGTTACACGATATTAAAATGTCTTTGAGAAAAAAAAAAACAAACAAACAAACTGAGAGTAAACACTCTAAAATAAATCAATTATTCAAAAGTTACAACAGTTAAAAATATCGAACGACCGACTCCATTCCATTGTCAGAGAAAATTGGAGAATTGGAAGAAATTGAAACGAAAAAGAGAACAGAATTTGAAATTGAATCTTGGCCAGCGCAGGAAATTTGACAAAAAACTCCTGTCTTTTCCCACGCAAAACAAAGATACGAAAAATTCCAGTTTGTTTGAGATCGATTGGAAACGGTGACTCCAGAAAGTCGGTTTTTCCATTGATCTGCTCTGGACGTTATCTCCCGATAAACATACGTTCTCGTCGATCACTATGATACAAGCTGGTAATGAGGCGGCCGGAGCCGGCGTAATCTCTGTTATCGGGATAAACGCACGTGCACGTTAACGCATCCTAATGACAGGGATGAGATTCCTTTCTGGTCTGTTAATTGCAACGCAGCAACATCTCGCGGAAATTGACAGCTTCCCACGAGAGCGAGAGCCCTCGATTAAAAAACGGCGGCACGTGAAGTCTAGCTTCCCTCCCCGTGAATTTTCCTTTCCCCCCCTCCCCCCCCTTTTGATAAGCTGATTCATTGATTTAATTAACTGGAAGCCGAGCGTGCCGAGGATTAGTTCGATTCTTGGCTGTCATTTTGCTATTAATATAATCTAATCTGCTTACGAGTTCTCGTAATTTGATCTTATTGCGGTTGCAACAGGGGAGATGAGATTTCCATTACTGAAAAATATGAAGACGAGAAAATGCGAATAATGTGAGAGAATACATGCGGAATATACTCAAAGTATATGCAGAGAAAGTCGATAGTACATAAAATTCACATTGGAGTTGAAAAACGTAGAACAGACGGAAATGATCCTCGGATCTTCTAGGAAAATCCCTAGAAGGAATAAGTATGCTGCCTGAAGATATAAATGACACTTGGAAGTAAAGACGAAAGTCAATTGAGTTCTATGCGAGCTATTGAATGACTCGTACAAAATTGCAGCGCTTTCGAGTAAAAAACAAGTGTACAAGTGTACAATCGTATAATTGTATGTTCTTTACATAATTCTTCTTATACTAGATTCCATCTTTTTGATTATTATTAATACAATTAAAATTATGTTAATAATTATATTATTATATAACGTAATTGATAACTGTATTAATTGTATTATAATTAATTGTTATATAACTATGCATTTTTATATTTTTCACGAAGAAAATTAATAACTGTATTAACTATATTATTACGTTAATAGTACAATTTTAATTATATAATTATTATACAATTAAAGTAATATAATTGAAATTATATTACATTAATAATACAGTTTTAATTATATAATTATTATACAATTAAAATAATATAATTACATTAATAATAAAATTTTAATTATATAATTATTGTACAAGTAAAGTGATATAATTAAAATTATATTATTACATTAACAATACAATTTTAATTATATAATTATTATACAATTAAAGTGATATAATTGAAATTATATAATTACATTAATAATAAAATTTTAATTATATAATTATTACACAATTAAAGTAATATAATTAAAATTATATAATTACATTAATAATATAATTTTAATTATATAATTCTTACACAATTAAAGTAATACAATTAAAATTATATTATTAACATAATAATATAATTAATACAGTTATTATGTATAACTGAAAATATAAAAATGCACAGTCTGATTATAATTATCGTTGAACTGCAGCGCGTACGGTATCGGTGCAAAGACCTTCCCGTCGAATTAATCCACGTTGAAAAACAGTCGATGCTTCTGCGTCGAATCGGAGCGTTTACGAATCAGGAAGCAATCAAGACTAATATAGTCCAAGGGACGACAGAGAACCGTAAGCGACGCGAAACTTCAGCGAGCAGAGGATCGAAAGAACCGCCGGAAGGAAAGGCAACGTGGTAAGCGACGACTAGGCCTCGTTAAGACATTTCGTACGGTTTTCTTGTTTGCGTTGTGCGAACGGATCATCCTGTTTCGCTACGCGTAATTATTATTTGCTAGCTGGCGGCGTGGTTAAATGGAGCGGAAGGTGTTAGGCGTGGGATGGCCGCCTCGAGAGATACGAAGTATACTACATAAAGTATCCAGACATCTGGCGTCTCATTTCGGTTGAAACGTGACGGTACGGAACAGAAGTTGCGAGATATTTGGTGCAACTGTTGTAGGAAAAAAAATATTGAAAAATTTGAACCAAGCGCTTCGTAACATAGGTTTATCAATATTTGCGTGATTAAGTTGAGAAAATTAAATAAGTCCAAATACGA